GCTTGCATTTTAAAAAGAAGTAAAAATAAATCTGTCGACTTCAGCGCTCTTTGGTACCCTATAATTAACCGATAACGTACTTCAATGACTGCTACGTTTTTATAGGTTATTTTGAGAACAAAAATTAATAAGTTGCCCTTAAAAAGATTACAATACTAACTGCTTGCTGATTTTGTTTTGCATTGAAGGTATAAAGGTTTAAGATCATTTTTTTTTCGGTGTCGGGTAGCTTCGCATGTATGAGTGATGATAATTAATGGAGTATAGTGAGTATATAAATAAAGAAATAAGGAAGATTATTATTTTAGAGAACAGGGACGTGGAATAAGGAAAGCTATTCAAAACCAAATTGGCACGAATTATTTAGTACAATGTTTTTGTTAGCCTGGCGCGCGATTTTAAGGAGTCAAATGTCATTTAGCGTAATTGAAACAAAAACGACATTGTAATCATATTAGGGGTTATAAATGTTAGTTATTCTTCTAGAACTGTTAGCTGAACGTATTGGCTTTCACTAAAAGATGAATTTAAAAATGCTAATCTCATCTCAACCCCGAGAAAATATAAAATTGCCCAACTCTTTCAGACTATCTATAATTAAAAATCTCAACAAAACTATTATAAATATTTTTTTAATTTATCTTGTTAATAAAATGTTCTGCACTGCTGCTTCTGAGATGCTCTTTTTTCTAATGTTATAATGAATGGAGTATAATTCTAATGATACCCTATACATTCATATCCGTTATATCTTTCAAAAGTTATGGTGCAATAAAAAAACTCACATACATACATTAATACTAAAAACAATAGACTCCTTTTCGAGAGCAGTCGTGTTAAAATATTCGGGAATCGATAATGAATCTCACCATAGAAATACTTAAAAAAAATACAAAAATTGGGAAAGTATCAAAATAGCTTGGTCGTAGTTTCAACACAGAATTTGGACTCGTGACCTTGAACAAGTTGTCGAGAACTCGGAACGCTTCAAAATACCTAATCTCACAGAGTGCAAATTTGTCATATGGCTCTTAAGAAATCTGTAATTTTTACCTGCTTTTATTTTATTGTAATAACAGTCTCTGATAGTATTATCTAAAGAAGATATCGCCATTTTCAATATTGCTATGAACAAATAGTGATAATAATTTTGCAGCCTTTAATGCCTCTTCTGCAGTAGGTAATGGTCCTTCCTAGACTTCTTCTTCTCCATCACTTTCAAGTTAGCCACGTGCCGAACGTCGCCAGGAATCACCGAAAATATTTATTTGATACGGACAAGTTGCAATCCAAAATTAATATTTTAAAAGTGCTTTAACAGAAACATATTTATTCACAAACATTCACATTCAGTATAGGTACTCTTATTCTATTGAGTCAGATGGGTGTTATTTATACGTCAGATCAAGAAGATCGTTTATTTTTACTACGTTAATTTTAAATCATCGAACACAAAACATTAAATTAATGTGGTCGAAAATAAACTTAAGTATCAACGCCAAATCATTATCTATTTTGATAAAACTAGGACTATTTAACTTGTGAAATAAAAAAAAAACTCAGGTTATTGAGAATAAGCAGTAGAGATTTTCTACTTTTTTCAAATCAGAAATCGGCTCTTAGTCTTTTAATCGATTTAAGCACTTTGACTGCCTTGTTTATTGATTGTCTGGTAGAATTTGCATGAAACCGGTCTTATAGATCACAAACTAGTTTAGAAATGAAGAAGTCAATGAAAGATTTTTTCAAAAAACTTTGTAATTTAATATCTCCGAAACTATTTGATCTAGATATATAATTTTTTTACATCATATTAAACATAAATAGTACTCTCCAGGAACCTCGGGAGTGTCGGTCGTTCTATTCCACCGAGTATAATAATATTACCGTGAAATGGTTTTTATAAATAAAATACTAATGCCATAGTCGATCTAGGAATTTTTCATTATAATATTTAACACAAATTCTAAAAACAATAACAACTAGGTAAGTTAATTTTGTTGCTATTAGTTGTTTGTTGAACTTACAACAACAAAAATACATTAAGTCTCAATAATATTTTTATATTATGCGAGGTGAATGAATAAATAGGGTTTATTAATCTGCAACAAAAGTCATAAAAACGATAATTATAATAAAAAATCCGTTTGTTATCTATATACTACCCGATATGTATCAAATATAGAGTTTGGCAAGCGAAACGTGACACCACCTATTTTTCCGTTTTCATATGGCAACAACATAGAACTGTCAGTTTGACACTACGTTAGACAATTCAAGAATATTGAATTTTGTTGTTTTTGCGAATTTGAACTTGTGTTTTTGGTTAAAAATTATGTCGAAGCCGATAAAAAGTTCATCGAGGAAACTTCTTTCCATCATGATTGACAAGTTTACTGAAGTGAAAACTGAATTAAATAAAAATTTCATGGAGAAATTACAACGATTAGATAAAGTTGTATCTTTTTTAGGTTAGTTTTGTATTATAATTTTGATACTTTCGTTTTAATTTTCTGTAATTAACTAAACAGATATTTTTTATAAAATATTGCTCTATTTCAGATAACTGTGATGGTGATATTCAACCAATAATGGAGGAGATAAATGCAATAAAAACTTTAGAAAAACAAGAAATGCTGAATTCGGAAACGCAGTACTTACAAAAAATTTCTTCAATGACAGGTCTCTTTTCTTGTTTTGATTTAAGATAGATTGATAGTATTCCTATAATATTTACATAGGTTTTTTATGATGTATTGGTTTTTATTGTTGACATCCAATGATGTCATAAGAATGTTTTGTTTAACAAGGAAATTCACAGAATTCATGAAACTAATCAAACCATGTAATTGTTATACATGCTAAATATGCACATAAACTTAACTAAATTAAACATAAATTGCATTCATAGTTGAATAGGTATTTAAATTATTTTGATGTATGTGTCTATCATTATTTGCTTTTAAATACATTTAACATATCTTTGTTTCAAAGTGTTTAATCTTTTATAGATGTAAGTATAAGGACACTAAGAAGGATAAAAAATGAAGCATTAATTAATAAAGGAAAATGGGACACTCCTGGGAAAAAACGACCTCATCAACCAACAGTGTCTGCTTTAGATAATTTTGATTTAAGTGCAATTCGGAATAAAGTAAATGAATTTTACTGTGTGAAAAAAATTGTTCCAACATTAAGAAGCCTTCACAATGAATTAAAAGATGCAATAGGATTCAGTGGTAGCCGTGAGACTTTACGAAAAATTATGCTTAAGAATGGATTTTCTTTTAAAAGCAATGAAAATGAACGTTCTATGCTTATAGAAAAATACCAGATTTCTGCATGGAGGCACAAGTATTTGAGAGAAATAAATATAAAACGAAACGAAGGAAAGCAAATTGTGTACCTTGATGAAACTTATGTACATCAGAATTATAAAGTTAAAAAGTCTTGGCAAGGACCTTCAACAACTGGTGTCACTACAAAGATATCCTCTGGAAAACGGCATATTGTTGTGCATGCTGGATCTGAGGAAGGTTTTGTGCCTGGTGCATTATTAGTGTTCAGTAGTAAATCCAAATCTGCTGATTATCATGATGATATGAACTCATCGAACTTTATGAAATGGGTCAGAGAAAAATTAATACCAAATTTAAGTAAGCCCAGTGTAATTGTTATGGATAATGCCAGCTACCATATAAAACAAATCAATAAACCGCCTATAATGTCTAATACCAAAGCAGATATCCGTAAATGGCTTGTAAATAATGGAATACATTTTGAGGAATATCAGACAAAGGCAGAGTTAATGTGTTTGGTTAATGATAAGAAAACATTGCCTGTATATGAAGCTGAAGAGATTTTAAAAGAACATAATCATGAACTTTTATTGCTGCCACCGTATCATTGTGACTTAAACCCAATAGAGATGGTTTGGAGTCAAGCAAAAAGAAAAATTGCAAGCAGAAACATTGGAATACCAGGAAAGGAAATGGAAAACTTAATAATAGAGTGTTTTAACTTAATTACCCCTAGTGACTGGAAGAAATACACTGATCATGTTTTAAATGTCGAAAATGATTACAAATTAAAAGATGGCATTGTTGAAAACGAACTTGAAAAATTTATTATATCTGTTGGTGCAGACAGTAGTGAAGAGAGTGACTCTGATGATTCCTTGTCATTGTTATCAGGTGTAGAATATTTAGAAACAGATTTTGACTATGAATCAGACTAAAGTATTTTTAGTCTGATTCATAGTCAAAATCTTATCTTAAATTTTCTATTGTGATTAACATGATGATTTTGTGACACCTGTATTATGTAATTTATCCATGGCACTTAATTGTAACAAAAATAAATGTTTTTTTTATTGTAATCTGGTGTTTATATTGACTAATTTAATTTGATAGATAGTGGTTCTGGATCAGAGCAAAAGGTTGTGATGAAAATCCCTTAGGAGACATGTATGTGTTATGAACACATTATAAATATAAGGGCCAGAAATCAAAATTGGCTAACATCACATTTATTAAAAAAATGTGGCCAGAGTCGCCCATATTCATTACAAAAAAACAAAGAAGTCGTTGCAAAAAACACCCTTTTAATTAATGACAAATATGAATTTTTAATATTATAAGTGCTGTTAGCCAATAGGTATAACGAATGGGTTAAAAAAAAGATTCGATTTAGTCCGTCAGTCAGATAATAGAAAAATATTGGATACGTATTTTTTTTCGCTTTAATTTAACAACAAATGGCTTAAGAGGTACTATGCGACGACTTCAAATATGCTTTGCAACAATGTTACTTTAATACAGTTTATCGATACGAAATCAAGTGTCAAAATGGAGTCCAGTGGAGAATGCCGATATTGACATTTCGAAATTGCTCATCATTGATAGAGAATACGAAATAGTGATTTTGACACAATCAAAGTGTCTATTTTTTACGGTGATGACGATTCTTGGTTGTCAGTTGAGTTAGTGAATAGGCCTACTGATATGCTGTTAACTGTACAATTAAGAACAGTCACGCTTTAGTCAAATGTTCCAAAACAAATAATTTTAATTGATATCTAAATGTTAAGATTAAATATAATTAATAAAAGTATCAAAATTATTTTGCAGTACTACATTCAGTGTTTACTGCTTAAGAATTTTTGAAATTGCCGCCCTTTTCTTGTGACACGTTTCGCTTGCCAGACTCTACTAGGTATTCGTACAAAATAATATGACTTCTGTCTAGAATGACGTTTGTGCAAGGTGTAACGTGCAAATAAGTCGTATTTTCAAAAAAAGAATAAAAAAACTATGGTCTGTTATTAAATCTTATATTCATAATTAAATCATCTTAATAAAAATTCAGCAATCAACAAGAAACGTCCGTTCGTAACGAATAGCAAGGTTATATATTACTTAAAATTTCAAAATCATTATGACACATACAGTTATTATCTATCGCTTGTGATCTTGCATATCGACGGCGGACTTCGAGCCAGGTGTTATGTTAATTCGTTCGGTGGGTATGTGCTTTTTTGGTTCTTACAGTAATATTGACAATAGATTGACTTTCTACTGAACCTACTCTAAAAAAACAGTTTTATTGACATATACAGGAATAATTTAAAACCACTGCGAAGATTTTGTGAAAATAACTTTAAGTAATTTAAACAAACACATTTTTTATTTTGATGTGTTCTAGTACTAAAAATAAAGTTTTCGCTTATCAAAGATCGAGATTTTAAAACTAAAATCTCGATCTCGATCGAGTGTGCAATAAATAATTGATTGATTGATTGAAAGGCTCGCATACGAGGTATGCTCTCCGTCGCATACTTTCTCCGAACTGCGCTTAGATTATCACCATTCCGAAGATAAACTCGTAACATCTCGTAAAACTCACGACGGCGGGTGCGTCGCGTGCGCGGGAATGCGAGGGCACGTCACATCGGCGCGTGCGTATGGGTCTCACTGCTGCCACTGTCGCGCGCGTCGCTCGGTGCCGAGCGGCGGGGGCTGTGGTGGGGGTGCTGCCGGGCACGGCGGGGATGCACGGTGGTATACGCAAGAGAAGACGTTTTCATTGAAGTTATATTTTAAAAAATGTGTCCATATTCTACCGTTTCAATAGGGATAAAAATAAAAAAAAATTAAACTAATTATGGAAAAGTGTTATATTACTGAAACTTTATCACCAAAAAAAATTATCGCACTGGAAAAAAATATTCCTGTATATCTTATTAAGTGCCTAGAGTGGTCATGATTTCTGATATTGTAATGGAAAGTGACTTTATAGTCCAATTAAGTCAAATTCCAATAAGACTTCCCCGTGTGAAATAAAACAGTGAGAAAAAGCAGCCCTTGTTGACTTTCTTGCCGGTTCTTCTCAGTACAAGATCTTCCGTCTTAGTTTTGCGAACCGTTGGCAAAGTATTCGACTTTCACAAGTACTGTGTAACAGCCTAGACTGAATTGATTTTGATATTTATATTAATACAGTTCGACATGTGGATGCACATATGGAACATATGGCATATAAAAAAACAAGCAAAAAACTGAATTCAGCGCTCCCCTTTTTGTTCTTGATTCTAAACCTGAATTCGGATGTCGTTCGAAGTTACGAGCAATCAATAAGTTGGCTCATCACTAATTTTGACATATAAACTAGACATCGTTCCTTTACACGTAACATAATAAATAACTTAAACTTACCATTCAAATAAATTAAGATTAATTTGAAAGTTAGATATTATAAGAAACACGAAACGATGTCATATTTCGATATTCAATTTACTTTTATTTTGTCAGACACGAAATTTGAATGAATATAATCTGAATAAAGAACTATTTTTTATTTTTTAAATACTTCCTCATTAAGGTTTCATTTATATTAAAGTCTAATTCTAATATTCAGAGAATCCGGTATTTTTCTACAGACCTCAATTCTGTACTGCCCATGGAACCTAGTACACTCCCCATAATGCAGAAGGTAATACAAAATCGCCAAAGTTACAAAACGGTCTGCGCAGAAACACGACTACATATATTTGTTTAAAAATAGGGAGTCGCAATCGATTGATTACTGTAATATTGATTTTTATGAATAATTATTAGTTTTTAATTTCATTATAAATAAACTATTTTCCACTAAGTAAAACTTAATTATATTAGTAATCTATCTAAGTTTTATAATTTTCATGCTTAATAAATAATATGAGATTGTATCATATTCGATTAATCCGAAATAAAATCGATCTTGTTCTTTTTCAAAAATTTTCAAAATTTTCAAGTTTTGAGATTTCAAAAATAACATAATTTAAACCGCGTTCTAAAAAGTAAAGACATATTTAAGAGAGTTTTTTTTTTCCCAGTCTTTAAAAATAAATTGTTAGTATATAATAATTTCATTCAACTTTTACTACATTTTGGATTTATAAAATATTAAAATATGAATTAAACTGAGCGAAACACTCTATTCTAGTGAAATCCAAAAGGGCAACGCCATTAATTAAAAAGAATAAGAAGAACTCAAGTCATAATCGAAAATCAATTTGGGTGAGATAAACTGTAGCAATTTCCAAAAAATACCTATATTAAAATAGTGTGGCTACTGATACGTAGCGACATCTAATTCATCGCAGTAACATCGCCTCAACAATCGATAGCAAGCAGACTAGCTTCGTCACAGCCATCGATAGCAAGACGAACTACAAGAAGTTTCAAAACCCAGTAATGAGATGGCGCTGTACCGATACAAACATTATAAATTAATAATTACAAGATATTTAGAATAAAGAAACCTACATCGCACAGAATTAGTTTCATTACCAATTAACATAAAAAGAACGTCCAACCTACATCGGTTGGACCGCGGTCCCTGGGCTAACAATACCTAGCTCGGAGGGAGACAATTATCCTGTAAACTCCCTGGCCAGTTGTCTCCATCATCACTGTAGGACCCCCAACCATTGTGATGACCAAAAATCATTGTGATGAATGTAGTAAAATGCACATTATGAGAGATTTTTTCATGTTATGTAATAAACAAAGTTAATAAAATAAAGTGGACTTAAGTTAGATAAGTTGACTTTGTAACTCGAGTGCATAGGAACTTGATGTTTATTTTTTATTCTAATACGAGTTTATCAAACACAATGGAATAACTCGCTTAAAAACATACTCGAATCGCATCACTAGTTTACATACTCTTTGGAAAAAGAAAACATGGCTATCGGAGTAGATACGTCAAAATGGAAGCCTAGAAAAATAAAAGGAACTCCGGCTGCAAAATTCAGAAACGTTCTAGCTTTTGGCATATTAGGCTTCGGGATTGCAAGTGGTTTATTTTTTCAGTAAGTTTTTCCCTTGGAACTCGAGTAATGATTCAAAATTTTTGAGGTTATGGAAAATATTTTAATATTATTTATCCTATGACAAGTACATAAAAAAGTCACCCATCCCGGGTGCCAGAGTGGGTACCATCCCATTTAATCCTCTCTGTGTTTTTTAAAATAAATGCATAATTTGTCAAAATGTACTAATTATCGTAATATTTCATCTTTTAGTTTTGCAAAAGTAACAGAAAACCTAAGAAAAGCAGCCGAAGTTTTATACGAAGATCCCATAGAAGAAGTTGAGAGAAGACTCATGATAGCTAGTGGATTGCCAAACAGGTCAGCAGAGACAATACGCCATTATGAAAAAGAATTATCTAGGCTCGACAAGCCAGACGCATAAATAAAGTGATGAATGTAAATAGTGCAAGCTTAGCTCATAGGTAGGTATTTTTTCTTGTTTCAATTTAATTTTGACTAATAAATCCACATGACTCACATATTTTGTTTTATTTGTTACTAGCCCTAAAGTTAAAAGCAAATACTTCAGCTTCACAAGAAATCATGTTATGGATGAAAGTTTATCGGCTTTCCAGGAAAAGAAATCTGCCAGGACGGGCCCTAAAACTAATGAAAAGCCATCAAGTAGCAGTACCAAAGTTAAAAAAACTAAACATATAAAAGGACAGAAAGATATAAGAACAGCACTCAAATCTAATAAACATGAATTGTTAAAATATACTGAAGAGTTTGATAAAGTATGTAAAGAGTCTGGACTAGATGTAGATACAGAGCAACTTCTTTTAGCTGTTGCATTATCAAAATCTCTTCAAAAAATTGATTCTCTAGAAGAAGTTTCAACATCTAATGCATGTTCTCAAAGGTCGGGTAAAATTAGATCTACTTTGCAAGAATACGGATTCACAGTGCCTGAAATAAAGATAAGCAGAAAGTCTCAAAAGTGTAGAAAAAACTTTAAGCTATTGTTATCTACTGAAACAGAAAAGCAGCAAATAATCTCAGATAGATATGCACAAATCTTGTTTAATAATAGTGACTTCTACATTGACAATCATAATAAATTGATTAATTGTAACAAAAACTTATACTTCAAAGCAACAAATATTCCTTATAGTGAAATTAAAAATAATGATGCTTTTTACATAGATAATTTAGTGGAAAAATCTTTAAGTAATGGTAGCTTGTTAAGGAATTGGTCTGATATACCTGGTAGACCAAGTAGTCCTACTGATTACAAGAATCTCAAAATGGATTTCAGTGAAATAGAATGTTCCCAAGATGAGCTTGATATAGTTCTTAGTGGATCATTGAAATCTACTAAAAATATTATTAAGAATAAAGTTCAAACATCTGTTTCTCGTCGAGAAACCATTAGTGATAAACTTAACTTAAATAATGATATAGGTGGAACTGACTTTGAGGTTTTTGTACCGTATGATAACATTGTCCTACATGCAGGAAAAGAAACTGGAACATTAAATGATGAGCACTATACGCCTTCAGGCAGTTCCGTTTTAGATAAAATGTCAGATATAATTTCTAATGTTGCTAGAAGTTGTTCTCCTGATATATTTGATGATGAATCATCCATAGCTGATAATAGGGAAAATAAACATTTTGTATATGCAGAACTAATTGATAATATTATCAAAGACAATAGCACACCATGTGAACTCATTGACCTGACACAAAATACAGATGATGTGATAGATAAAAGTTTGAAAAGTTCTGAGAATACAAACTTTACAAGAAGACATTCAAATGATGTCATGGAAATTACAGAATGTGTAGCATATTCTATCCCACTTAATTTAGATAACAAAATTTTGAATGAAGATAGAAAACTTATGCCCACAAAGGAAAATCCGAATTCTATCTCACAGCTGTCTCATAGTAGTAATAAAACAAAAAGAATATCAAATGATTATATGGAAATCACTGACTGTGTTATTAAAAAGTCAATATCAGAACAAGATATGAAAAGAAGTATTGATCTCACTCAAATTTCAGATGAAGATAATGTACATGAAACAATAAATGGAATTCCAATCAGCTGTGAACTGAAAAATCCTTTGGCAAATGAAAGCATGAATGAGTCACTAGATGATACCATAATATTAAATGATAACGAAATTCATAGTGATAAACATTGTCAAATTGTAAGTCTACAGACACATGAAAATGAGTTAAGTGAAAATGGATTGGATGTTAATGTAACAAATGTGCTAGATAAAAATACCTATAGCATAAAAAGAAATCAAACCTTCTTTGATGAATTTGAAGTTAATCATTCAGAGGTAAATGTTGAAAATAATACATCTGTGGTACTCAATATTTGTAAAGGAAATGAAGACAAAATAGATTTAACTCAGAGTTCAGATTCATCTAGTGAAGGATCTGTAAAAGAATCAGATCTGATAAAATTTAATTTAAGTGGTCATGGCAACAAAGATGAAGTCTCAGTTGATTATGATGATTTATATGATATGATACAGGAAAGGAGAATTGCCTCTTCAAACAACAGTAATATATCTCATGAGTCAAAAGTAACTAAACATGAAGATCCAAATAGCAGCAAAGCATCATCACAAAGCTCAAATCAAAATTCCATTGCATTTGAAGTCATTGATCAGGAATTAAATTATTCCCTTAACATATCAAAATGTGAAATCCCATTGGATAATTTTGGATGCATTTCTTTTATGGATCATTCTTCTAAAATAGAAAACAGTAAAAAATCACAAGGGACAATAAAATCCCCTGTTGATGAATCTATGACTAATAGTTTTTTGCCTGATGTAGATATTAAACAATCAACTGCTTACATAAAACCAATACCAAATAAGACACCAGAGCGTGATTTAACTAAAACGAAAATAATTTCTGTAACTCCAGCATGTTCAGATTACATTATAAAAGCTGATGTGACACCAATGTTGGATTATGCATCAATGTCAACTCCTGAAATGAATAAGGAACTAGATAAATATGGATTAAAACCATTTAAGAGAAAACAAGGTAAGATTATGTTTTAAGAACTCTATTACAAATTTGCATTCTATGAGATTAAGTATTTGAAGTTTCTTGATCACATGTCTTATAATAGGTCATGAGTTTACTCTGACAATACTGTGTTAAAAGTACAACCAAGTTACTTTGATACTTTTCCCCGATTTCTGTATATTGTTTTAATTATTTCTATGGGGTGTTCCGTTATCGCTATTCCCACACATTTTACACGACTGCCCAAGAAAAGGAGTGTATTATGTTTAGGATTAATGAATGCATACATGTGAGTTTTTTTCTTGCACCAAAACTTTGAATGAATTAACGCATATGAATGTATAGGGTATCATTATCTTTGTATCATTAAAAATTATACATCATCCTAAATGACACTGACTTTAATATTGAATAGGGCGTATGTATCGCTCGATTTATAAAAGCTTTCTAATAGGAATAAAATAAAAAACATGACTCTATATCGATCTAAAATAAAAGTAATAAGTTGTATTATGTCTTGGCTAAACTAAATTTGCCATGAATCTTAAGTTTATATGACGATGATACCATAAATGACATAGATGATATTTGTTAGGAAAATTATTACCTACTCCTTTATTTGATTAGAATAAAACTAGTTACAATTTACTACTTCTAATATTTGAAGTATTTAGTTTAATTTTTTTTTTTTCTATATATCTGTACTATTTCAAAATTTCGAGGTCGCTTCGAACTATACGACTATATGAGAGATATCATTCAATATTTTTTTTAATTTTATTCATTCAAAACAAAATTTTTTTTTTTCAATTTTGGGTTTATTAGTCAAGCTATGCAAATTTTCCAAAAAGCCGCTACAAAACTATGGCAGGAGTTATTCTGCACTATTTAATAAGTCAAAATTATGAATATATTTTCGTTTCAAAAATCGAGAAGGCCAAAGCTATTTTGTGACAAATTCTGTTCCAGCTGATATGGTGAATCTTTCCTTGCGCAGAGTAAACCTACCAATTCCGTTGATGACCTAAAGTAAGATTAGAATATATAATAGGTCTTGTTTCTATGAATATAAGGTATAAATGTGTTTGTTTCACACACATTCAGCGCCGGTTGGACGCATGGATAATAGTGGATTTAACGACATTTGGCGCGCTTCAGAATTCGTACACCAATTTGACGCTAAAGCAGTTTGTTCTGAATATAGTAATTACAACAACTATAAAGTTTATAAATATACCTAATCTTTGGTTAAGAATAAATCTATGATTTTACTGCGAGCTTGTGACAAAATGTTTATTTTTTTAACATACACTTTCATCCAATTTAGTTCTCGCATAAAATAGTTTTAATACATCTTATTTTAATTTCAGCTGTGCAGCTTTTAAATCACTTGTACAACCAAACACATCCACTCATACAATCATCATCTGAAGCGATTTCATCACCACCAAAAAAGCGGAAATCAAGTAAAACCTCACCAAGAAAATGCTCAAATTCTCCAATCAAAAATTTTGAAGCATGCAATAAGGAGAATCATTTGTATAATATAACAAATGATGTGCCTGATATTGTAACTATAGAATGCTCGGAAGAAGATTGGGTATTTCCGAAACGAGAAAAGGCAAAGGTAATAAAGGTTTATCACTGCATAGTATAAAACAAGGTCGCTTTCTCTGTTCCTATATAAACTACGCAACGGATTTTGAAACGCTATTCTTACTTAATGATCATCTTAAATTAGTATGTATGTAACCATGTCGTCATAGGATATAGCTTAGCGATATTTCATTTTACTACTTTTACTTTTACTTTATTATTGATTTGACTGAAGTGTAACTTAATGGTTTATCCACCAAAAGACATGTCAAAGTAGTAAAGTAAAACGAAATGTCGCCGTGTCCTTTGGCTAAAGTCATGGCTATAGAGGTAGGCTGTCGCACTCCTGGATAGTCCATCTTTTTAAAAAAGGATCTAAATTAGAATATTTTCTCACGCATCTTGGGAACGTCAGTTTAAAACACCTAAAACATAGACATCCCTTAAACCTGTCCTTTACAGGACGGACCGGTCGGAAAACCCTGGTTTAAGGAATAAGATTGCATTTTCCCTGCGTTAAAAAAGTAAGAACATTGAAGGTGGGAGTGAGTCGATAAAAGAAATACATATTATTACGTTCATTTCAGATACACTCCTGTCGTGTACCGTTGCACATTGCATTGCACAATTATATATCGTGTCGGCGTTCATTAAGAGAAGCCATTCTGCGATATGAACCTGTAAATATAGATGATATACACAAAGGACTGGTTGCAATTGGTTTTCGATATGATCCTAAGGTAAGAAGCTAGATTTATAGTGTTACCAACCTTTATCCAGTGGCTCAGTCCGCATGGTCCTGTATCATATATTTATAGACTTCCTCTTAAATAGTTTTTTTAATAAATAAATAGACTTATTTAAACCCCATAGTTTTTCCGAAATTAATAAATTTGTCTTATTGTTTTATAAGGCTGACTAAATGAGTCAAGAACTCATTTCAAAACGTATGTGGACACGTATTTGAACGGAACTGTATGTCAAACAATTAAAATTTGCAGTGAAAGCATTGCTTTTATATCTTAGATTAATTATTAACTTTACATAATCATTTTAAAATGAACCTATTTCTATTAATATTGATTTACATTTTATTCTTGCAGGAACTTTTGAGGTTTATGGACAAGAAATGCATAACAGTGAAGACTGCCGATAATAACGCTAGAAATAAAAGATAAAAATTAATTTAATTAATCATGGATTTTTATATATACCACCACAATACTATGTTTTATTAGTAAAATAAATTAAAGTCTGGAGGTGCTAATACGAGTTTTTATATCATTATGTTTATCGAATGCGTTAGATTTTCGAATGCCTAGAGATAACTAGTAGGAATGATGAAATATCGTTATTTATTTTTGTTTTTCTTTTAACTCGATGCCGATCAAGGTGTCATCCCGGGTTCGATATCCGGTCCAATAAATGTCACTTTGGATATTGTGCACCTTTGTTGTTTGGGATTTCCATTATACAAGTGCTAAAACATACTTGATTTGGGATCTAATCAACGTCTGTCTGGCTAATGGCAGCATTAAAGACTTTTTTATTTTGACAATTTTTAACAGCTCACCAGTACTCTGTTTGCATTTAAGACGATACGCCACATATTTTGGATGTATTGGTTACCTTAATATTATTTTCGACAAAAAATTATACCTAAAAAATATTTTTATATGTTTTTTGATTGAGAATTCTGTCTTATTTGGATAAAAGACAAAAACGAAATCGTTAGTTTGTAAGTGAAACAATAGTTATATATAGAAATAAAAAAAAACATGCGAAAAAATGCTTTTATTTTCTCGAGAACATACAAAAATGTACACATAAGTCTTATTTCCAAATTGAAAGTACTATCAAGTACACATATCATTGCTGATATAACGATACTATGTATGTCGGAAATTAACCATAAACGTTAATAAACTTATTCAATATATTCTGTTTTTAACTACCATGATATATGTAAATTGCACGTAAATATAAAAAAGGCGACATTTTGTTTGAAAATATATAACCAAATATGGCAAAATGTGGTATGGTCAATTTTCCAGTTACAAGAGTATTGTTATATAAACGACGATTTTGCAATAATATGAATATTTACAGCGACTCAACATATCACATTATTGAAAATTCATTCATTAATTTGTTTATTATCGCATAATATTAAAATAACAATAGAATACGAAAAAGATAGACACCTTAATAATAAAACGCACCAATTGAATCATTCAAATTATTATACTTATATAATTTAACTTTAAATTTTCATGTAATTGTAATCTAAACATACGAGATCTTTACTCCATTTTATCGATATACATACGCATCAGTTTACCACTACAATATGTCAAATTTTTGTAATTGATTATAAACTGTCAATGCATTAAAGTATAAAAACATGTGGAGAAATTTAACAGATTTGTATAACCTAATGTGCTGTTGACTGTACTTTTTACAAAAATGGTATAAGCTGATAATTTTAAAACTCAAAAAATATGAATATGAGCAAGTTTAAACATAATTTTTATTATCGTCAACAGAAAACAAATGTGTAAGTAGTTACAGGTGCATAATCATAAGCACTTTACAGCATAGCATTTATTCAAAGCGCGATGGCATTCATGGTGCAGTGACACCGATATACATGCTGATAGTGGTAATTTATTTATGAAAAATGTTTATATCGCCCTTAGGAACTTATGGTAAGGCCCCTGTATAATGATAAATAAAAAAAAATGTATCGAACTGCATTGCCAACACACTTAAATATGTGTATATAAACTAATATATTTACAAATACACACTAATTTATAAACTAAATATTGTCAATATATCATTTATCGTTTTTCTTCAACAGACCAGCTTGTTCGATTGCTTGTCTTGCAGCATTGTTTATATGTCGAAATCGGTCTGGACCGAGCTGGATTCCTCCATACCTAAGAAGGAAAAAAATTAAGCAATGTTTAGATCATCAGCATGCATAGGGATGCAACAATATATCAGAAAACCAATATATATATCGACGCTCAAAAATATCGATTGCGAAGAAACAACCAAATCAATATAAAAAAACCAACATATCAAAAGCTAATATCAAATAAATGTATATCAGTCATCCAAAGTTTTAACATCCAACAGCATTTTCACAAATTATATGACAGTGATTTTTTGCTTTGAAATTTGTAGTATATTTCATTATAATTCGTACTTAATTTTAAAGTAAAGTAATATTCTCAATTTAATAGCAATCAATTATACGTTAAAGTAAATTTTCGTATACTAGCGTCAATTGGCTCAATATTGCATGGTTATTGAATGAACTTATAATGACCTAAGATTTGTTGAAAATTTGACATAGCAAATTCTCTATTTCTAATTCGCTCGACTGCTACAAGTGGTATGAATCACTTATCGTTTAGCTACGCTGTGTGCGAGGGATAGAATAAATATGAAACATGAAATGAATAAATGATGTTGAAATCAATGACGTTTATGGCAGTTTTGTGTACATTCATACTTTTATTTTGTTCATGTATATGGAAAAAACAATTTACCATATAATATGAAGAACAAAATTCTCTAGATGTGATTCTAGCTATAGGATACGAAATTTAGGCGGTATTATATCGATATTTCGTTAATAATTTATCCATCAAAAACAACAAAAGACATGTAGAAACATGAAACGATATATTGTCATCACATGGCTAATATATCGTATCCTATGGCTAGAGAGTTAGGCGGTCGCATCGCCGGTTTGATCTAAGAAAAAACTCACCATCTAGTCACCACAACCAGCGTGTTCTTTTGTTCGAGGATTTGCAACAAATGTATCATCCGACCGCCTGCGTGGGCTTCGCCGTCCTCATCGCAGTCTTGGAGAACGACGACGCCTTTTGCGGTCTTCCGTTCTATACGATAAGCGTACATGTTATGTGTTGCATTCAAGATTTTCTTATTTTCTTTTAACTTTGCCAAGACGGATCTGTGAATTAGAGAGAAATATATCAAGTCATTTATTGCATGTCACATTAAAATTATAAGATAGTAATTATTTTGTTGTTCGTGTACATGTGACGCCCTGTAAGGGCATAGCAATGTTACAATACAATACAATTATGGAAGATTGCAAAATACAAATACTTAAAATTAAATAATATTAGAAATTACATGTCGAGAAACTTATAACAAATTATATTAACAAATATTAATTTAATTTATAATGTATGCCATTAAAATATTGATAAAAAGTGTGAGCCAATTTAAAAGTAATCAACAAAGACGGGGTACACCTACATTCATAAATGTTCAAGTTAATTTTAAATACTATTACTAACTAACAACTACTGCAAGAGTAATTCAAAACAAATATTATATATATTAGTTCTTTATCTATGAAATTGCAGTTATGAAATAAGTTTGTGATCGAGAAAGTGTATCCATGCAACATCTGAAAGAAATCAGAAACCGGATGTAACCTATCACATAAAGTAGAATTCTATAGGCAAGTTCTATGGCCTCACTCACTTTGAATTTAACATTACAGTATAGCCTACAGTACAGTACTTACTTGACATCTTCTAGGCTGTGTACTACAGCTGCATGTCCTTGAAACACACTTTTCCTGTCAACGATTACATCTCCATGAGTTATTTCCGGACAGTTGACATGCATCTGAAAATGAAGAGTAAGTTAATAAAAAATATTTTGTTATCTTAGCCTTAAGACGCTCACTATTGGAAATAGTCTCCCTCTGCACTACCCACACTGAGTGGTTTCCTTTAATCTTTATAAGATTGGCGGTCAACCTATTGGCCGTCGAACGGTGCGCAGTCGCCGTTCTAGAACTTAGCGCTCATATAGCCCTGGTTCCTCTCACTGAGCAACCCATTACAATGACCAAAATGTCAGTTACTTTAGTGTAGCTACTAGGGTTTACAAACCCTAATATGTTCTGTCCTGTTATCTTTGGTTGTCTATATTATTGAAAACATAATAAAAATTAAAATTAGCCTAGCTTGTCCACAGAATTGAAACCTATGTCTAATTATTTATAAACTTAGCCAGTCTATTATGATTGAGCAAAGAACATGAACATTATAGACATATCATACCTCTTCCACTGATGGTGTGACATTGACAACCTTCTTTTCTGGCTCTTCTGTCTTTATACTTTGAAGATATTCTCTTATCTTTTCAACCCACTGGTATATCACTGTTTCGCCAATGTTTTCACTGAAAACATAAAGTTTTATTATTATTACACTCTTCACATACAATGGATAAATACAAGTTTAAGAGCGCTGAGCACATTGTAAGCCGGCCAATGAGGCAAGGAACACCATTCTGAACATTCATATTTGCTAAATTTCACATGTATAGTCACTGAAGATTATCACAAATATGTAATAAATCTAACCAGGTATGTGCAAAATGCCTAGAGTTTAGATAAAAAAATATATATTCATTTAATTTATTAATATAAATATTCATTTCTTAATTATCTTCTTGAACTGAATACAAATCTTTCAGCAAAATAATATTGGTATTTCATAAATAAGTATAAACTTGCATTATTGATTAAAGTGATTGTCTTAATTTTTTAAGTTATTTTTATTTATAAGAAAACAGAGAATTTTGTTTCTTATTCTCTTTCTTTCTTATGTCTAATGTAAATACCATTATGTTATTTTTTTCTCTACAGCATGAAAGTTTAACCTCAGCAAAAAGTTTCAGTTTATTAGTATTGTTTACAGAACAACAGTTATGCTATGAATATGCATTTATGTTAAGAGTTATTCCTGGTGATTACCTTTACCCACCAGCTTCTATTAACAGTGTAAAATTAAAAATAAGTTTTATGAGACATAATGGTGATTCCTACATTTTACTAATTTGTTAGGAAACTTTAAAATTCATCTTCTAGACAATGTATTTTTTTTAATACAAAATGCTTAAAAAATCCACTTTGTCCCTGGCACCCTGAGATGGGAATTGAACTCACGACCTTTCGCAATCCGGGCAACTACTCTAACCACTGAGCTACCCAGGACCTAACAGGACTGACAAATCTTTCAAGCACTTGTTACTTTTTGCTACTACAGAGCATATTCTCATCAATGTTCAGGCATCCATCCAAACAGCCGAAGATATATTGTTACAAATATTGAACTTTCAATAAAGATGAGAATTTTGTTTTAATTATTATATTTTTATTAATTTTGCATTTTTTAATCATTTTGTATTAAGAATTATTTTCAGTATGGCATTGTGAATGCAAAATTAATAAAAAAAATGTATCTTTCAGCAATATCTTTTAATGGTACACAGGCGAGTGACTACCCTCTTCTCACCAGGACCCCAAACCATTGTTATCTTATTAAAATTAGAGTCAATTATTGTTTTACTGACATATAAATCTTATCTAGATCTTCAAGGAGTTTTCTTTTGGCTGCTCTATCCATCCAAGGAGCTGACAACTCATACTTAGGTGGAGATAATTCTGGATACTCAGGTGGCATAGTTACAAATAACAAAACTTCTTTATCGCCTTCTTTTATTCGAATGCGATACGATCTTGTTATGTTACTCTCCAAGGTCCAGTCGTCCCCGTAAATAGAACTAAGAGCCTCGACTTCTTCCGCCTGAAAACGTTTAAATAAGTAAAATACATATTTATCATAACATAAACAAAAATCTTAGAGTAGGTTTATAATATGTAGTATTTTTGGGTTTTACTAACCTGCTTAGTCAAATTATCGGAATTCATGGCTTTAATCTTCAGGTACATACGGTAGTGGTATAAAATAAAATACCACAAAAATAACACACTTCTCAGAACACTTTTAAAACGCAATTTTTTTCAAAGTGTACTTCTTCTTCGTCTTCTTTTTAATTAATGGCGTTGCCCTTGTGGACTTCCTCAGAATCCAGTGTTTCGCTCAGATTACTTCATATTTCAGTATTTTATAAACTTGGGGAACACTTCTGTTCCATTTCCCAAAGCCATTTCCACACAAATGACAGTGACAATCGAATCGACATTTATACTAGCGCGACTAGCGCCATCGAAATAGTGTTTCCGTATAAAGATGGCGATCGCGAATTGATTTAATAGAACATCAATATTTTTAAATAGGTCTTCAAGTTCTTAATTCGATTTCTCGCTACCCTGATCGATCTCAACATTGTCGAAAAACGAACACCAACGTATTTGCTAACTCAACTAACCATCTAAAGTCGTAATTACTGAAAAAGTGAGTATAACGATGATCTCCACTGATCTCCACTTAAGTGTATTTGACACTTGATTTTGTATCGATACTCTATTGGGCTTTCACGAGCAATGAACACAATAATAAAATGTTATCGATTTTTTATTTTTACGAATACTATATACTATACTATAGTATACTATACTCTATTAATAAAAAACGTTAAAATTATTTTTTCGATGCGACGTATAGTTTAAAGATATTAAATTTTTAAGTTAAAGTCTTCATAAAATAGAAGTAGGAGTCTGACATAACCTCATAGCCGGCTGTGAGAATAAAAAGTATGAGCTTGCATTACCGCTGTGTACCTTAGCATCTGGGATTGGATCCTACGAACCGTTAACACTCATTCGCGAAAAAACTGTTTGTCTCTTTTTGGTCAGTCCTGTATAATAGCGGCGGGTCGTTGGCGCATTTTTGATCGACACCACACTGTTTATCGTTCACCGTAAACTAGTCTCAATTCTGTTTTTTGTGGACTAGTTTATGTCGTACACGCACTCAAAAGAACACGAAATTATGTCGAACTAGATTAGTTGATGTAGTTCATGGAACGGTTTTCAGAATAAACTGTTTAAACAACTTTGTTGTAAGCGATCCAACAACGTTTCAATGAATTTGTGGTCGGTGAAAATGAATTTCCTTTCATACTTATTTTGTAAAAGTTCAGAATTGTTTATTTATAAATACCTAATCTACAAATTAAGATAGTTATTATTCATAAAATTATTTAAACTGAAGATAACATAATTTAAAAAAAAAGTAGGATACTACTACATTATTTAACCTTGACCTACACCGACCACATTAGAATCAGACTGTGATTTGTCATTTTAATTACAAAGTTCAAAGGTGTATTTATGCCAGAAATGTAATGTATTAGCTACTCTATACCCTTACGTTAAATAAATGGCGCCATTCAATTAACAGGCTGACTTTCAATCAGCTAAGTAGGTGACCGCAATGATCTACAATACGGCTGAACAAAGATCAGCCAATTAATTTACTATCAATTCATTGGAAATACCCAAATTTATTGGTAGGATTAGAAGTAAAACAAAATAAATTTTGTACTGGGTGATTTTACTTAAAACTCCTTGTTACGATCTGTAATCAATACGGTTACAGGACTGATCAAAAAGGTAACAAAATAACAAACTGTTATTATCTACTTTTAAACTATCACTCTGCATAATTAAATACTATAATTCCTATATAGGTCACACCAAGAGATCCATCGAGGATGGGGTGAAAGAACACATAGCAGCTATCAAAAACCGTCAGTCGAGTAAGTCTGCCATTGCGGAACACCTACTGGAAAGGGGCACAAATCACTGGATTTACCGTACGTAAGTCCTTTCCACGGATCGCCACTTTTATTCAAGGGTACTGGGTGAAGCGATTGAAATTGAACTCTATTACGCAATCGGTAAATCTTTAAAAGACTAGGGACACCGTTAGTGTTGTTTGTGACGGTAGTTGGATAGAAAGTAAGAGGCTAGAAGAAGATTCATCCTCGGATACAGAGGCATAGACTTGCTGCTCCAGTCTCGTCGTGACCACGGCCGGTGCAACCCAGCCAAACGTCGGCGCAGGTCAGTGTAAAATCGCGTCTAATACCCGTTATTATAAGTAAGTATTTCTCTTTTTATTAGATAAACTCTCTACACGAACAAACTGAGCTCGGAAACTGCGTTTGTAATTATTTTGCTGTTATATCGTTTTTATTGATATAATATAATAATTTGTGCTTAAAAATCTTTATTCATAAGATATAAAGATTTCATATGAATTATTTTGGTTCAAATTTTGTTCAATAATATTATCGTCGCTGGGAGAACTTAAAACTTAATTGATTAAGGATTTTCTATATGATATTTTAAAATTTGCAGCTGCTACGAACATCCAACGTTTTTATTTCATTTGTTTAGAGCGGGTTTAGAGATTATAAACCGGTAAGAAAATCAGCAACGGCTGTTTCTTTCTCTCTACCTTATTTTTACATTATAAGCCCATTAAGCAAGTGACTTCATTTAGACAATGAAGTAATTTTCCATTACAAAATTAGAAATAACACAAGATATAATTTTTTCAATAAATCTGCTCATTGACAATTTATACAATATGGATATGAAAAGTTTTTTTGGGAATGCCTTATTTATTTGGTCATTTCTAGAACTCCTTCGTAAGTACCCTAAATTATTGTACTTTGTTCTCACTTGAAATAGCATCGAGAGGATATAATAATTATTGATACTTTTATTTTCGTCACATAATAAAATAAATAAATAAATTAGGCATCTGCCTTTATTGTCGCGTCTCAATATTGCATCTTGCAAATTTCACGTGGTGTCTTTCCATTTAAGAGACTATTAAAAACATTTGAATAAACGATGCAAAAATTCAAATTCTATATTTGCTTTTAAATAGGATAGGTACATAATATGGAGGTTATGTGGTTATATTATAAGATCTTTGGTAGTTATAATCATAATCAATCTTTAGTAGTAATAATCCCATGCAAAATTATTAACATTCGTACATTTTATAATAAAAGTAATCATCGCATTGATCATATCAATAATAATTATATCAAATTAAATCTAATTAACATCGTATTAATTATCAATGTATTGATATATTTCTAGAAATATATCAAAAAGTAATTTGTGATCAAAGAATTAGTTTATACATTAAAATGGCTTTTCCAATAACCAATTACACAGTTTTACTAGTTATTTCATTTAGGTTCTAATCTATACTATAATAAAAACATAACCGATCGATGTCTGTACATTGAAGATATATGAAAAAAACTGTTATTAGAGGCATTCATAAACGTAACAGAACACAAAACAACGATTTTAAATTTGTTTTTGTTTGTCTGTGCACGCTAATCTCAGAACCGCTGAACCGATTTTAATGCAGTTTTCACTGTTGTATTGTGTGTTCAACCTTCCGTTGACATTTAGTGTAAGTTTTATTTCAAGCAGTTCATAATTAAAAAAGTTATATCAATTTGAAGTACTGTATTCGCCAAAATTGTTGATCATTGTCAGCTCTTTTACATCCCCATGCAGTGGGGCTCAGGTCTTTATTTAATAAGTTTTGGTCACCCATCCCGTAAAAAACCCATGTGAAAATTGCTTAACAACAACAATCGCGGGTAGCGGTACTTATCCGTTGCGCTACCGAGCTACGTATTGATATTGTCTGTAAAATTATAATTTATATGAATATAAATAAAAAAATAAGTTTTCAATATTTTGGATACTGCAATGTAAGTTGATTTTAATCAAAATATGATTGATCATATATAGGTATTACTAGCTCTGCCCGCGACTTTGTCTGCTTGGGAAAGTATATCAGGAGAATAGGGATGATGACTGGGTAAAAAAAATGCTATTCTATTTAGTCCGTCAGTCAGATAATAGAAAAATATTAGATACGTGTTTTTTTTTACTTCAATTTAACAAGTAATAGCTTAGATAACAGGCATTAAAGTTGAGGAGTGGGGGCTCGCTACGTCACAGTTGAGTAGAAAACGTACTCTAACGTGACGTCATGCGAAATTTCAACTTAATGTAACGCCGTAATTTTATGATTACGAAAAAAATAAAAAAATACTTGTTTAATATTTTTTTTACACTCTACCTGACGGACAAACAAAAAAAAATTAGTCATCATCCCTATTGTTTCTTTCTTATGATTAGGATCGAATCGAGTGGGATCAATGGTCCTTGGTGCATTACGCGGGCCAATGCGAATTAGTGGGTATTAACGACTACTGATGCAGCCGGGACCAATGGCTTTACTTGCATTCCGAAGCACAGATAATACGGTTTTGGTTATCCACCCTATGTGAACGGCCCTTACGATAGGTTATAGTTATTTTTCTATATTTTTATAATTTATCTCTCTGCTCTTGCGTCTGACCATTTTTATCGTACATTAGGTATACTCGTATTAGTGATACTTACGCTGTTTCAACTGTTCTTCTTTTGATTTTGTTTTTTTTTTTAATTTTATTTGTGTATCTGTCTTGTTGTACGCGCAATTTATTATTGTTTCTCATGTTTTTCCATGCAATGCCAGGTTGCCTGAAAGAAAACGCTGGCTAGCACTAAGTTTGTCTTTAGTACATAGTTATGAATGTTATGTATGAAAAATATATATGTATGGTCGTATGATTTTCTTGTTGTGAAATAAAAACTTAACTTAATTAACCGCATCGTAAATTCTTATCTTAAATCAGAAATACTCATTGTTTTTTGCATGGAATTGGTTCCGAAACCAATAAACTGATTTCAAAAATTCTTTCACCCATGGGAAGCAACCTCATATTCGGGTGACACTGGTTATAATTTAGGCGGCTAGTTAACAGTTAATTATATAGGTACGCTTGAGGGGTACAGGCAGGTTGAAGGCAACACCGATTGGCGATATTCGAAATTACTTTTTCGCTCTCTATACTGCAAAGTCCTAGCTCTTTTAGAGCTCGACCGCATTTCTCTATCAAAGCAAGTTTCAAACTCAAACAATACTGCATACGTGTTACGATCAGCAGTTAGATGTGCTTAATTATCTTCAGGAGTTTTCTGAAGTCAAACGCTTGCTGTATGAGTTCTCAGAGAGCTCAAGATATTTCCCCTAATGCAATGATTGCTCTAGATTCAACTTGATAGTGCATGAGCATCGTGATGCGCCCGTCTAGTATCTGTCCGAACTCTGAGAGTTCAAGCAACTTTGTTTGTCAATAAAAGTCTTAGGATCGACAGATATACCGCCAGGTATCTTTTGTCAGATATGCGCGTCTTATTTGTCGCAGAACGTCAGAAAACTAAAAAAAAGTTATATTCAATTCGACCTTGCACACTCGACAGAAATATACTCCCATGAGGTGCTTGATTGAGCTCCATCAACTCATGTAATATTGCATGAGCCTCATGACCGATGAATAAACCTGTATCTCCAGTGATGACTGTAAATACCAGCTTTAAAGTAAAGCTATTTAAATGTAAAAAAAAAGAGTAACATAAGACTATTAAGAAGAAAAAAAATGATTTAACTTGAGTTGTCTTTACTCATTCGAGAACGGTGTAAACTCAGTTTAGATTTATGCTTAGCCAGAGTTTCTGTAGAGCGTAACCTGGCCCAAAATTTCCTACGTCTCGCTGCAGGATCTTCTTAAGAATCTCATCCTTTTAGCAGTTTTGCTTTTTAAGGGTTCATTCCATACAGCTAATTTGAGTTATTATGATTTGAAACACACGATTTATCTTTGTTGACTTTTAGGTCTTACATAGGTATATATCTTTGAATGTCGCGTGTTTAAAAGGCAGCTTTTACAAATTTTTCGTTCTAATTTGAGTGGCTTAATACTCGTACTAACATTTAAGTATCGTTTGTCTTTCAGATGGAAGTAGTCGAGGCTCTTAGTTCTATTTACAATGATGAGTGGACTGTGGAGACTACAGCAATGAAATCATATTGTATTCGAGTAAAAGAAGGCGATAAAGAAATGTTTTTGTATATTTCTACGCCACCAGACTACCCAGAAGTCTCGCCCCCGATATATTCACTTTCAGCTCCAGGAAAGCGAAGGGAAAGCTCCTTCATGAATTAGATATGATCAGTATGTAAGTAAAACAACATTTATCGTTTAGATGACTTTACTCTTTAATTTTGTGGTTATTTATAATTTATATTTATCATAAACGTAAAATTGATACGATTTTAAGTAACCCATATAAGTAGGTATATTATTTTTTAACTTTCACAATAATTTCTTTAATTATAAATATTATAATACAACATTTGATTAACACTTTTTTATTTTTCAGTTAACACGTCGGTGGAGTATGCATTTACCTGCTGGTCTAACATATCAGAGGGTACATTAGAAAATTACCGCACTCTGGTGGTATCCGTAAGAAATAAATAAAAATATACCATGTTTGGAGAAGGTAGGTTGAATTTTTTTCTTCAGAATCTATTATAAATGCTGTCTTCAAAAGAGGACATTGGTTTAGTGAATCATTTTGTGAAATTGTTACTATAAACTATGTATAAGTAAATAGTTTGTTTCTTTTAGTTGTACATTTTAAAATATGAAAGAAATTTATCTAAAAATTCGATATTCTAAGACTTAGTCTGTTCGGGAAAGACAATTGCTGAAAGAATTGTTCTCATAATTTTGTTTAATCAATCTTCATACATTACATAGATTATATCAATGTAAAATACAATATATGTCTCAAAGGTAGCTCTGGACCCTACCCTCATTGAAAAATAAATAATGAAAAAATCTATTTGACGAAATCGGTTTGAATTATTTGACGGAATCTTAATCGGTCTCTGTAATAGTATAGTAATTTCTGGCAGTACTTGAAGAGATTTTTTTTAACAGGCATATAATTGCAAAATTTCGGAAGGGAACATTCAACCCAGCGTTGGGCGAGTTGTTCCACGTGTGGGGCAAATTGTGCCGCTTAGATAATAGAAATAAAATATGACAATAATATAGGTTTATACATTATAGGTTCAGTCCTTTTTAAAGTCACATTTAGTGTGTATTAATGTAATGCTTAAATATAAACTACAAATATAGAATAACAACAAAACATTACTAATTACATCTAGATAAATATTTTGCACTGGTAACTAAAATTTAGATCTGTTAGCTTATAATTCTCATCACCTACATGCTTAATAATTTAGGATACAACAATTTTAACTGAAAAGGAACCTCGATATAAAAAAACTTTTTTAAAACTAAAAAATATTGGCACTTTCATAACCTAACTTAAAAAAATAAATAAACAAATGTTTATTTTAAACTATAATATAAATTCATCAAGTTAAAAATCTTATCAGCAGGCTAATTCTGCTAATGTTTACGTTATAATCGCATCTCGATAGAATCTCAACGACTTGCATTTTACCATTGTACTATCTACATAAAGTTCAATGTTATTAGTTCAATGTCTTCCTCACACATCGATTGAGTCAGATATATAATAATATTGGAGTTCAGGTAGATAGTACAAGGGCAAAATGCGAGTAGTTGACATCCTATTGACACGCTATTATTACGTAAACGTTAGCAGAATTGGCCTACCGATCTATAACTGCACTTAATTTAACTGAATAATACAACTGGTATGCTCCAGACTAACATTTTATTATTAAGTGCAATGAGAAGTGAGATCACAACTTCAATTCTAATCAAATAACAAAACTGAACTTCTAACGTCCATATCATTTTCATTTAGTACTGTAATCGATGTAATATTAAATATAAATAATTTTAATCTAGACGATAAATGTATTCAAATACTATTTACATGTAATTTTTCTGTAGGTTTTTATTATAGCATTTTTATTGTTTAAAAAGCGGCTTCTAAAAAATTAGCAAAAATTGAAAAGTCAAAGTCAAAAGTCAAGTCAAAGTCAAAGTCAAAGTCAAAGCCAAAAAAATCTTTATTCAAATGAACTTCTTAAAACTACTTTTAAATCGTTCATCTTTTTTTCCCTACCACTCGATCAGGACGTCTTTTGGCTGATACGAAGAACGAGCAAGACACTCACCAGCTCTCGGTATGATAGTGATATAATTCATTTATTTATCGTCTATCTTTTAGATGGAGGAGGTTGAGGCTCTCAATGCTATTTATAATGACGTGTGGACCGTTGAGAGTAAAGCGACAAGATCGTACAGTTTTAAAATCAAAGAAGGCGATAAAGAAGTTTTGTTCTTCATTACCATGCCGCCTACCTACCCAGAATTCGGACCTCCTAAGTACGAACTGTCAGCTCCTTGGCTGGGTAGGAAAGCGAAGGCAAAGCTCCTTCATGAATTAGATACGATCAGTATGTAAGTAAAACAACATTTATCATTTAGATGACTTTACTCTTTAATTATGTGGTTATTTACGTTTTGTATTAATCATCAAATTATAGTTAATATGATTTTAAATGACCCATATGTTTCAATATTCAATACAATATTATGTTTCAATATTCAAAACGTTGCTAATACTTTACTTTTGGTTTATAAATGTCGGTATGCAACATTTGAGCAGAATACAACAGTAACAGATCTTTTGTCTACGTCGATTTCATTTTTTTGGTGCAATAAAGAGTATTTATAATTTTTTTCAGTGAAAACGTCGGTGAGGTAAGTATTTATTTGCTAATCGAACACATAAGGGGGTTCGTTAGCAACTTACCGCCCTCTGGTGGTAGCCGGAGTAAGATAACTAAAAAGACCCCATGTTTGGAGAAGGTATGTTGAATTTTTAGTTCATAATTTACAGTACTGCGTGTTTATTTCTTCATAATCTGTAATAAGTGCTATCAAAAGAGGACATTGGTTCAGTCAAAGATTTTGTGAAATGGCTGCTGTAAGTAAATAGTTTGTTTCTTTTTGGCATACATTTTAAAATATTAAAGAAATACACCTAAAAATTTCGACTTGGTTTTAGTCCTAGTCTGTTTGTTCGGAAACGACAATATCTGAAAGACTCGTTCTCATAATTGTGTTTAATTAATCTTCATGCTTCACATAGATCATATCTATGTAAGATACAATATATACGTTCCAAAGGCAGCTCTGGACCTTACCTTCGTTGAAACATAAATAAAGAAAAAGTACTGGCATTTTCAAATTACCCATTTCATAAACAAAGTCTCCCCACGAAATTGTTCGATTTTTTTATATTTTATAAATATCAATATCAATCAAAATTGTGAATGCCAAATTTATCAAATATAAAATGAAAAGTTGTATGTATGTTCTTATGTACAATGGGAAATTCCATCTTAACTAAAAAAACATTTTGTACGAACTCGAGCAGAATAAGATGCCACGTACTCCTTTTTCTACGAACTTGCTCTTTATTTTTCAGTTGAATTGTCCCGAGATTACTCACGGGGATGTTATAGTGGACAGGAAGAGCGTCTTCCAAGGGCATGCAGCTGAAGTGCACAGCCTTGATGATGTCAAGTAAGTATAGTGTTTTAAAAAATTAAAAAGACCCCATGTTTGGAGAAGGTATGTTGAATTTTTAGTTCATAATTTACAGTACTGCGTGTTTATTTCTTCATAATCTGTAATAAGTGCTATCAAAAGAGGACATTGGTTCAGTCAAAGATTTTGTGAAATGGCTGCTGTAAGTAAATAGTTTGTTTCTTTTTGGCATACATTTTAAAATATTAAAGAAATACACCTAAAAATTTCGACTTGGTTTTAGTCCTAGTCTGTTTGTTCGGAAACGACAATATCTGAAAGACTCGTTCTCATAATTGTGTTTAATTAATCTTCATGCTTCACATAGATCATATCTATGTAAGATACAATATATACGTTCCAAAGGCAGCTCTGGACCTTACCTTCGTTGAAACATAAATAAAGAAAAAGTACTGGCATTTTCAAATTACCCATTTCATAAACAAAGTCTCCCCACGAAATTGTTCGATTTTTTTATATTTTATAAATATCAATATCAATCAAAATTGTGAATGCCAAATTTATCAAATATAAAATGAAAAGTTGTATGTATGTTCTTATGTACAATGGGAAATTCCATCTTAACTAAAAAAACATTTTGTACGAACTCGAGCAGAATAAGATGCCACGTACTCCTTTTTCTACGAACTTGCTCTTTATTTTTCAGTTGAATTGTCCCGAGATTACTCACGGGGATGTTATAGTGGACAGGAAAAGCGTCTTCCAAGGGCATGCAGCTGAAGTACACAGCCTTGATGATGTCAAGTAAGTATCGTGTTTTAAAAAATGTATTTAATTTATTTAAATTGTTTCTTTGTGAAACTATAACATTCTTACAATTCCTCATTTAAAGAGAATACACCTAACAATCATTATTCACGAGTAACTATTCTGTTCTGTATAATCTGTCTTTAATGTCAAATATTTATGTAATACACAGATCTGTTCTGGCCAAGCTGAAGGAAAATAAGAAGATATCGAGCGCCAAGCATAATATGTACGCGTATCGTATAAAACAGTCGACCGCTAAAGGCACCGTCGTCGTCCTTCAGGATTTTGATGAAGACGGCGAGGCTCACGCGGGAAGCCGTTTGATGGATTTAATGAAAGTCATGGACTTGGACAATACGCTAGTGATAGTCACCAGATGGTGAGTACATTTTATTTTATACAAAATAACGTACAATGATCTTTTATATATAAAATAAAATATATTTTCGTTTATCTTCCTAAAACTACAGAACGGATGGGCCGATTTAGCTGATTTTGATTTTGTAATGTTTGTCGTAGTTCAGAGAAGGTTTACCCTGAAAAATAAATACAAGTTACAATCTCTTTATATGAAAGTATTCAGAATGTCGAAAATGTTTTCAAGACTTTTAGTTTGTATTTTGAATAACTCACACAAACGGTTTCTATAGTATCTTATACTCGTTTTATAGTATCTAGATTGAGGTGCCAGAAAATTCGTACTTATATAAATGTGTAAGAAAAATGTCACATTGCTATGGGTAGTGAATAGTCGAGACAACTCTGGACTGTGATTGCGTGATGCATTGTTACGGCCCATTCTCCCTATCGATTCCAACCACAGGGAACGTGTGCGCCCCAACTGTGGTGACGATTTTGTAAGTAATCTATCGCTTGAAAAGGTCAATAATTATTCATGGTTTTATGACTTATCAGTAGTGTAAATTATAAATGTTAAGTACTTTATTACTTCTATTCGGTGAAACTTATTACACTTATTACTTATTACAAGGTATGGAGGAATTCAGCTTGGCCCGGACAGATTCAGACATATCGGTAACGCAGCTAGACAAGCCATCGAACAGGCTGGGCTGGCGAAAAGGAAGAATAAAAAATAGACAGAGAGCTCGTGACAAAAATTTGCAAGATTTTTGTAAAGGTCGAACTTTCAGTATATGGAAGTATAAAAGTATACAATCACTTAGTATCCACTGTGGTGGTTTTAGCTGTTGTTTGTATAGTTACGCTAAAACCCTACCAACATCCGCACTCCACTGAGTGATGTATATCATTAGTACTTCCACATAGTGAAGTATCACTTGCACATTTATGTCACGAGCTGTAATATGTATAGTGTATATTATATATAAGTGTAGATTTATTTGTAATTTGTTATTTGTAGTAGAAAATAATTTAATATCAAAGGAACTTACTGAAGCATCGACTGTTGGAAAACTTGTTCATTTTTGACACGAGTTCTTTATTTTTAAGTGTATGGTGTATTATATATATTAGTGTAGGTTTTTTATTTAATAGAAATAGTAATCGACGTTCAAATGAAGTTTCCAAGTACAGTTCTCCCCTATCAGCCGTCTTTTATGTTTAGTTTTTTAGTATAACAATTTATTATATATCATTGAAAGTTAATTTGTTATTTATTACAATTTATATTGATTAGGAATAATTAGGTATATACTTGTATATTTATTTAAAGTCTACCTTAAGACATTTTCGACCCCTTGTAAATTATTTTTGGACTATTAATAGTAAGTGAGATTACATAGTACACTGTAGTTTAGAATTATTACAAGTCAAAAGTCAAAATTTTGTCACTGATTGACTCACTGATATCCAGGTCATCAAAACTATAATTATACCTTCCAGCGGCTCTACAAGATCCAAATTTTGAATACATGAATATCGCTCAGCTTGACGAACACCATTGTTAAGAATTAAAGTTATTGTTTCGGCTGCTAGATAGCGCTACATTATTTGTACATTGCGGTATGGTTTCACTTGTTTTTGTAAATATATAGTCTATTATCAAATTGTACTGTTTGGCACTTTAATACATCATTTTATTGAAAACTATTTTCTTTCTTTTCTATAAATCATTTTGGGACAGTGTTCATTGATCCTTCGGTTGCCGGATTAAGGCTACCTTAGAGGGAAGTGTTCAGCTGGCCGTCGATGTAACACCGACGTGTAGACGGATTGTCTATTATGGTGTTGTCTCTGCTGCAGCAGTGAAGTTGAGAAAATTCAAAGGGTTCGTGTCGATGTTGAAGTAAACCCAAAAAGACGCGGCGGTGGCAGTGGAGAAAGCAGGTGGCTAGATACGGAACTATACTGGTATTGAATACGGAAAAAACAGTGAGTGAATTTGAACTTTATTTGTTAAGAAGAAATATCTCTAAAGCGGCGTGAAACTTAGAAGAAATTTGGACTTAGAGTAATTAGATTAATTTAGTATAGTAGTTTGAACTTGTAAAATTTTAGGCTAAAACCTGTATAGACGGGGAACCTATGCCCGATTTTCAAATTTGTAAGTGTTCGTTTTTCGAACACTTAGAAAATTTTGCAACTTGAATTTTAGGACATAGAATATTTTTTGCAAATTTTATATCGTACATTCTAAGGTGAATTGCTTTGGACATGAATTGTTGTAAGGTGTCTATGAATTTTATTGTTTTGACATTGGTACATTTAGTTAAGCAAGTTGCGTTCATCTGTTGCTAATAACCTAATTTGAAATTGTTATAATATTCTATGTTTAAAGACAATTAATTTCAATCTATTTCAAGTAGTTTAGAAGTAAATATGGAGGCGTTATCTAAGTTACAGGACGATGTTAAATCTGTTATTTCTAAAGGTAAAGTTAATTTTAAAAAGTCGCCAAAATAACGACTCACTCAAAGTTATATAGAGACAAGGTTAGAAAGCTTGGAAGAGCAATGGAAAGCTTTTGTTGATACGCACCGTACTATGTTAACTGATATAGATACTTTGGAATTTAAAAATTCTATTTATTGCAAAAATGAAATGTATGAAACTACACAAGAATTATATTGTGATTATAAGTCTGAGTTGAAAGATACCTTACATCGTGTTCTAAAGTCACAAAATTTAGTTTGTGATAGTAATGTTATAGCTCATAGTTCACAGTTTTCTCCACCTATTAATACTACGACAGGTTTTAATGTGAAGTTACCGAAAATTACTATTCCAACATTTAATGGCAAGTATACAGAGTGGACAACTTTTAAAGATTTGTTTATTTCGTTAGTCCATAATAATTCAAATTTGGAAAATGTTCATAAGTTGCATTATTTGAAAGCTCATTTATCTGGTGAAGCGGAACAGTTATTAAGACATGTACCTGTTACGGAAGCAAATTACGTAGAGTCTTGGTCAATTTTAAATAAAAGGTACAGTAATAAAAAGTTTCTATCTAACTGTTTACTTAAGCGTCTCATTAGTCAATCTAGTATTACGGTAGAGTCCTCGGGTGCTATAAAATCTTTATTAGATACAACAGTTGATTGTTTAAATGGGTTAAAAAATTTAGACCTTTGCACTGAATCGTGGGATGTTATTGTGATTTTTATAATTAGTTCTAAACTAGATTCAGAGTCACGCAAGATATGGGAGGCACAAATAAGTACATCGGATGAGCTTCCTTCAATGCAACAGTTTAAAGAGTTTTTAGAGCAGCGTTTTAGGTCGTTAGAATTTTTGCCTAAAGCTCAAAATACAAAAATCCATGTAGCCATAACAATTTCATGTGTTTTCTGCTCAGAAAGTCACAAACTCTGTAACTGTAAAAGTTTCACAAAGCAAAGTGTTGAAGCACGTCGTAATTTTATTCAAACAAATCATCTTTGCTTTAATTGTATGGGTCCAAATCATTCCGTATTCACATGCCGTCAAACCTCTAGGTGCCATATATGTAAGAAAAAACATCATTCACTATTACATTATAGTGTCCCAAAATCAACGGAAATTAATGTTGTGGATTCATCCGTTGACAAAAGTGTCATTGTAGTAGCTACTACTTCCTCGTCTAGTAGATCTAATGATACTAAGAACGTGGATCACATAGTAGCATGTCATTCAAATAATCATAGTCAAATTCTTTTGGCTACTGCGTTAGTTAGAGTACAGTCTAAGTCGGGAAATCAATGTACTCTCAGATCCTTGATTGATCCTGGATCTCAGGCTTCATTTATTACAGAGACCGCTGTGCAGTCGCTTGGTCTTAAAAAGCTTCCAGCTAAAGTACACATTTCAGGAGTAGGTGATCATAGCGACTCTGTAGTATCGAAGTCATCAGTTTGTTTCAACTTTCATTCTATACACGATCTCAATTTTGTTGTAGACGTCAGGGCTCATGTATTGAATAAATTAACGTCGGTGTTGCTGACTCAAAAAGTAAAATTTTATGAGTATCCACAGTTAGTTGGGATAAATTTAGCGGATCCTGATTTCCATACTCCTAATAAAATTGATTTGCTTCTGGGAGCTGATATATTCGGTCAAATTTTAGTTGAAGGTTTAATCAAGGGTCCTCCAGGTACTCCAGTAGCTCAGAATACTAAGCTTGGATGGATTCTATTTGGCCAGGTTACTTCAAAACCTTTGGGCAGCTCTCAGTCGTTTAATGAAAACAAGATTATCAGCATGCACGCTTGTGTTGATAATGATGACCTACTCAAAAAATTTTGGGAGTTGGAGTCGGAGCCTTCAGTAATTCATAAAAATATATTTACTGAAGAAGAACAAGAATGCGAAAGAATTTTTGCAGAAACGACTACTAGAGATTGCTCTGGTAGGTATATAGTTAAACTTCCATTTCGCTCTTCTGATCCTCAATGTAAATATGGTAACTCGCAGATTATTGCAGCTAAGAGACTCCAGTATCTGGAAAAGAAATTATTAAAGGACCTTGAATTAAAAGAACAATACTCACAGGTAATTTCTGAGTACCTTGAGCTCAATCATATAGAGGTTGTTCCTGAAAATCAAAAGTCAATGCCAGGATCAGTATATTTACCTCACCATGCTGTCGTGCGTAAGGACAGGACAACGTCTCAAGTCCGTGTAGTCTTTAATGCTTCATCTCCTGGATTAAATGGTGTGTCATTAAATGATAATCTTTTGGTGGGACCTAGTTTGCAGACGGATCTAAGGCATATTATCATGCGATGGAGACGACATCCAATTGCACTAAACGCGGACATTGTGAAAATGTACCGCCAAGTAAAGGTGATGGATGAAGATGCTGATTTTCAGAGGATATTGTGGTCCGATGGTAATAAAATTCAGCACTACAGATTACTATGACTTAAATATTACTATGACTATGAATTAAAGTTATTGTTTCGGCTACTAGATAGCGCTACATAATTTGTACATTGCGGTATGGTTTCACTTGTTTTTGTAAATATATAGTCTATTATCAAATTGTACTGTTTGGCACTTTAATATATCATTTTATTGAAAACGATTTTCTTTCTTTTCTATAAATCTTTTTGGGACAGTGTTCACCATATATATTTTCCTTAACCAAAATTTATTACGGCTGTTATTTGTCAAGGATATTATACTGTTAATGAATATTTAAGCGACAAAACTTCTTGGTGCTAAATATGGCTCATTTTTCATGTATATG